TATTGGCGGTTGGCAAACCAACTTGTAGGTGCATTACCGCCACCAACTAGACTGGAGTGTGGACAAGAGACTATGCAGAAAACAATAAACCAAAGAAATAAAACAAAACAAAACAAAACAAAAACCAAAACTCTAGATTATTTTAAATGTATCAATTTCTCTTAAAAACGTAATAATCTCACATATATATTGCCTGATGTTTTTTCCTAACAGCCCTGATAGCGGACAAGTCATGGAATTTTGCTTTCTTCAGTGTCTGGAAAAGCACATCTCTCTGAGTACTATATTTCTTGCAAAGCAGTAAAGAGCCTGCTTCCTGTGCTTCTTTAAGAGTGTCATCTGTTACGGCGGGCAGCAAGTCAGTGGACTTCATGACGAGCATTTGGAACTGTCAACTCTGTCCAGTGTGATACTTATGTACATCAGTATTGACCTACATCCCCCCATTTTCTGAAATAGAATGCCGTTAACGGTGTTCTCATTTTCAGAAATATCGAGCCTTATATATCAGTTATTAAATATCAGTTATATATTATATATTATTATTACTTATATATCAGTCATTAAATATCAGCCTTCTTCCGGTCCCCCAGTTTGATCCCACTAACGATCAATCTCTCTGTCTGCCCCCACTGTTCTCGTAGACTCCTTGGTTACCGGGACGCCTAGTTGTTGTTCTTCTCGTTCAAATTCTAAATATAATATAATATACAATATGTCCAGCAGATATTTGGTATTTGTTTCTCCGAATCGAAGGGGAAAATTACAAAAGCATTGTACACAATTTAAACCAATCAATGTTGTGTAATTAACAAGGATAATCTGGTGTTTTTGAGTTGATGAGTAGTGCAGATATCACTGTAAAATCAATCGACAGTAAGGAGAATACTTACTTCCGGGTGTAAAATCCTCCGTTATCCAATGGGAATGGACGCTCACATTGCTCTCTGCGTCCGTAATACAATAAAGGGGACATGATCAAATAGGAATATAATTATCTTTTAAATAACGTTAACTAAAGGGAACAATCTATTTGATACAGCTGAAGCTCTGGCCTTCCTTAAAAACTAACTAATTCAATAAAAATCACAGTTGTATTACACACAATGCACTGTTTTTTTAGAACAAAAATTCGTAACTAATGCACCATAATACATTCTGACGGGAAAAAAAAATTATTATGAATACAAATCAAATAAAAGAAGCCTCCCGCTATAAAGTAGATTTTAAAAACGTTTTATAGAATAAAAGCTCACTGCTGGACGTTGTAGAAATGCGTGTGTGCACCACGACAAAGGAGCCTCATTCACTTTACATTGGGGTTGTTTGCGTGGTGCAGACACGTAAATGTACAACATATAATAAGTGCCCTGTATCAAGATTGATGCAAAACAAGTGACATTTGACCTTTTTAGAGAGGTTTAGCCTCTGAGGTGATTTGGGTGAAAACGTTTTTTTTTTTCATATCTCTGGCCCCCCTTGGTCGATTTTGATGGTTGACACCTCTTTCTGACTGTTAGAGCCAATAGAATCGAAGGGGGAGGCCCCCACACACACTTGTTGTGAAAACAAATGGTGGGGGCTTCCCGCATGCAGGTTTGCACCAGAGTGAAGCGATCTCTCGCTCTGACATTTGGAAACGAAAAAGCAGTTTTATTGCTTATGGATTATCAGAAATCATTTCAAAGAGGACACAGACACATTGGATTAACCTATGGATTAACTGCAGCATCGTTTTTTATCGTTTTAATGCCATTGAAGACCAGTTTTGACCAAGGTAAGCCATGTTAGCGTTTGTAGCTACCTAGCGCCACATGTTTTGATGTACGTTTTCGTTTATAGCGTCGCAAATGTTTATCACTGAGTGTTGAGGTGGGCACCCCCAGATTCTGTGTCTCCAGGATATGCTAATCGATGGGTTGGCTGTGCATCTAGGATAAGTAATAAGGGAGTTATGAGTGAGTTTAGGTGCAGTGATAGGTTAAATTTTTTCGCTCATGGCTAATTCAGAGGCTGAGTGTTAGCATTGTGGGGTTTTTTTGGAGAAAAAAAATTAAAAAGATCAGTTAGCTGAGTTTCTTCCCGTTACATGGATATAAAACATTCATAGTTTATTAAATATTATGATTCCTTAGACGTTGTTTCCTGCAAATGACGCGTTTATTTGCCCGGTACCGGGGGGGCGGTGCGTAACAGGTTAAAAGTGAATGACATTATCCATTGCCATGCTCTCATGGCTGGAGACGAGAATCTCATTAACCTCTTAAGCACGGCGGTCCCCCCATTGGACCCCTCCCACCGTTTTTTTTTCGAGATAATGTCTCAGGGCTTCTTAACATTTATGAAACTATTAATGTGTAGCACCAGATTAACGGGAAGAATCTCAGCTAACTGAAGATATGAACCATTTTTACCAAAACAAAACACAAGTCTCATAAGAAGCGTCTAAATGACCCCTGAGCGAAAAAATTCTAACGCACTGCGGCACACAATTCAAGATAAAAATACCCTTATTACTTATCGTAGCTGCACATACAATATAGCCGATTAAAGCTGAGACTCCACTGATTATTTAGGTATAGTATCATCACTGAGCGATCCGAACTTGCGACAGGGGAAGCAAACACAGACATCACAACACGTACCTTTACGGAGCTTTTACGGCAGATCGTCTCACCGTAGCTGTCAATTAGGTCAAAAGACGTGTTCAATGGCATTAAAACGAAGAAAAAAAAATGCTACAACTGTTGATCCATAGGTTGATAATGTACCTGTGCCTTTGAAGAAATTATTTATAATCCATAATTCAATTTTTTATGTAAAAATCGGAGCGGAAAAGTTAGCTGCTTATGGTATGCAGCTTCCGGTTTTGGCAACGCGTCACTCTCACTCCTTATTTGTTAACGTTTTGGTGTGTATATAACTTTCCCTCGATTCCATTGGCTCTAGCGGTTATAAAGAGATTTCATTCATCAAAATCGGAGAGACAGCAAGCGCATTTCGTGGCATCTGCAGGCAGTGGCAAGTACTTCCGGCATATGCCACAGATGCCACAACTTGCCACCGGCATATGCCACAGATGCCACAACTTGCCACCGGCATATGCCACGACTTGCCACAGATGCCACAACTTGCCACATAGGCCACAACTTGCCACCGGCATATGCCACAGATGCCACAACTTGCCACAGATGCCACAACTTGCCACAACTTGCCACAGATGCCACAACTTGCCGAGGCATCTGCCGCTGCTGAACGGGAGTTGCCACAAGATGCCAGAAGGTTTACGGTAGCTGCCACTCGCCTTCCGTGGCAAATGCTGCTATTTAAACCCGTATTTATCGTGTATGTCGCTGTTTAGGCATGACCACTGGTTTAGTGGGCGTTGGACGTGGGGGTACGCCGTACCCCCACTTATTTGAAGCATGAATTTTTTTAATAGTCTAATAAATATAAAATCATTGCCTCAGTTGCAAGTATGTATTTGTTGTAATAATGACGAAAACATAATAGGCAGATTTCACAGTAGTTGTAATAAAAACGTAGCTCAAGCATTTATGCAACTTGATTTGAAGCGTGTGTGTGAGGGGCAGCACCGTGTGTGTGTTAGTGTGTAGGGTGAACAGATGTCCCGCTGTGTGCGGAACTGTCACTGCACCACACAGCATCTTTATTATTTGTCCCGAGTAGGCTACCACGAAATTAAGACTATGTCCCGCATTTGAGTGACAGTCGCGCAGAAAGGCCGGATCGGTTCGCTGACGGACGACACCGCCCTATATTATTATATTTATATTAGGGCTGTCAAGTTAACGCGTTAATAACGCGTTAACGCAAAAAAAAATTAACGCCACTAATTATTTTAACGCGATTAACGCATGTGTATTTTTTGTCCTCGGCCGCCGTAGTTTCAGAGCGCATCGAGTTTAAAATACCATCGACAAGCTGATGCTGACAGCCCCGCTCCTACCGCCCGCTTGTGGCAGACCACACTTCCACGCTCACTGGCAGGCCCGGACTGGCCATCGGGAGGACCGGGAGGGAGTGTGTATGTGTGGCGCGACTCGCGCGAGCGAGGCACACCTTACGTGTTGTTGTTGTTAGCATCTGGTGCTAGCTAGCTGCGCTAACGGATATAAGGAGCTGTTTCAATTACATTTCGCCGACAACTGCGCCGAGCACTTGACTTTATGCAGGTAGCCAGACAGTGGGACATTGTACGAAAAGTCAGCACACTCAGCACGGATAGTACGCGCAACATGATTGCAGCATCCAGGCAGCTCCCGTTGGAGCATATATGCCTTGAGCTGCACATAGCTCCAATGATCCATCACAGTGTCTCCACACACACACACACACACACACACACACACACACACACACACACACACACACACACACACACACACACACACACACACACACACACACACACACACTCACACACACACTATTATTGTATGAGAGAGGTTCCAGGTTGAATTGAAGCGAATATTTGTAATGTTCAGAGGTTGTTGTGTTTAATATTCATGAGAATATTTGTCATTGTTCAAATGATAATAAACAAACATATAAAGCATATTTGTCCACTCATATGTTGATAAGAGTATTACAAACTTGAAAGATATCCCTCTAAGGTACATTTAGAACAGATAAAAAATGTGCGATTAATTTGCGATTAACTATGGACAATCATGCGATTAATCGCGATTAAATATTTTAATCGACTGACAGCCCTAATTTATATTATATTTTAAACGGCATCATGTAAGCTGCGCTGACAGGCGACACAGAGGTCCACAGTGAATCCCCCCACCCCACCCCCGTTGACAGTTCACGGGCGCGTCCAAAGTGTGTAATAATTTTGCGCTTTTACTTGAGTAACATTTTAATGCAGGACTTTTACTTGTAACAGAGTATTCCTACATTTAGGTAGGCTACTTCTACTTGTACTTAACACTAGAACCGCCAGGGGTCGCTGTATAGCCTACCTAAAACCGCCAACGTGTAAAATGTACCCGCTATTAGAATGCATTGATTGTCAAGGTACAATGTTATTTTATTTATCATTCTAGAACACAATGAGTGTTGCCACTAGAACACAATGAGTGTTGCCACTATACTCGCCGTGGCATGTGCCTTGGCATTTGCAGGCAGTGGCAAGTACTTCCGGCATCTGCCACAGAGGCGGAAGTACTTGCCACAGATACCACAGAGTAGTGCACTACTCTGTGGTATGGTCTCTTGCCGACTCCGTCCAAAACAGAATGTTCATATAGTACACTATGCCATGTACACAGGAGAAATGAAGGACACCACCTAAAGAATAGGAACAAAAAGACACATCATGTTATTGGAAATCAAACAATGTTTAATAAATGTTTGTATTTAAAAATATCAGTCAAGCTCTTTCTCACCACCAGCTTTCTGTAGCTTCACAAAAAGCTTTGGGTAAATGTCCTTAAAATTAAGGAGTTCCAGAAGCCTGTTCAACATATCCGAAATCGATCCCTCTGAGGATACACCCAGAGCATCACAAGCGTCCTGGAGTTCCTTTTTTTGAGGCTAAAAGATTGAAAGGGAACATTTCAATCAATTAAAACCACAATACATATTGTATTATCCTGCATGAGAAAACCCAATTTCAATGACAGAACTGCATAGAGGGCTATGTCTACATTGTCAAAAGTCTGAGAGAAAAAAAGAAACAACAATAACATTAGCACAAGGTGTACCTTCTTTGAGTCAATGATTCCCAGTATGATGTCTTCATTTATGTTCATGTTGGGATGCTTGATGTCATCTTTTTTTTTTTATTGCCTTTTTGGCCTCAGTTTTAGGTAAAATGTTACCAACTCTTGTTTTTTCTCCCATCCATGGTGCCAGTGTCGAGTGGCGAACAGACGTACAAAAGGGATTGGCCACAGATGTTCCTAGTAGTAAAACATATACAATTGCAAATGCAGGTATTAAAAGATTTTATATATATATATATATATATATATATATATATATATAAGTATCAGGTTGATGTCATTATACAGTTTACTAACACAATGTAGTCCAAACCTGATATGAGGCCTTCGGCTATATGTGACTTGTCGAGCTCTGACCATGCCTTGACAATATCAACTTCCAGGTCACTTTCAGAAATGGTATCTGGATCAGGCCTTTTAAATGTCCCAACTGAAAGTTTAACAAGATTTGTAATGCATGAAAATCATAAAACCTATTGCAGAGAAGCATACAGTATCTACTTAGCACAAAGTGTATATATATTATGAAAATACAAAATTAATTATGAATTCACATATTATTATACGCTAAAATAAGATGAATCATTTAATTACATTAAGCAACAACACTTACGTGGGACATCAAAGGCAAGTTTCCAGTTGGCATCAGCTACTACCACAGCTGGGTTGTACCCACACTGGTGGCAACAAAAGTCAAACTTAAAGTTGGTCAGTGACAGAAAGTGATGGAATGCCCTCCTCACAATTTGGTGGTGGTACCGGTTGTCGTTGAATAATGACAGAGTGTCCAGCATGCGTCCAGTGGTTGTCTTGTTCTGTTTTTAAACAACATAGCAGGATATCTCCATTATCAAAAATGATTGCCAAAGATATGATTTTGCAAGATTGAACATCATGAAACTTGGATGTATTTATTTATGTTATACACAAAGCTTACCGCCAAACCAGACAGGAGAAGCTCACAAAGTGGCAGTGTCAAGATGACACGGTTGTTGAAGTTGTGGAAACCAGTGGAAAAATCTTGGAATCTGACCAGATTTGCACATGTTGGGCACTGTTTTACAGCAACTGAAACACCTGTTGTTTCAAACACATATTACACATACAAATTACTTTAATTTGTTATTGTTACAGTTGTCATTAAAGAAATATATTTCTAAGATATCAGGATGGATATACCATGCAACGTATAAGGAATATTTATTTGTAATGGTTTTACCTTTTTGGATATACTTAATCCCATACACCATTGCTTGTGTGGTTACATTTTCTTGGGAGTTAAGATCTGGAGGGGTGGGCCCTGGACAGTAGGGGCAGGTTTCTTCTGAGGGGACAAAACAGGGGGGTGGCTGTCTCTCCTTAGTCCTCAGCTCCAACGGTAAGTCCTGCAGGCACGGGATGCGCTTTTTGGTTGATAAATAGTCTGTCATCACAGTTACTTTTTGAGAAGTGAGTTTGTGTGGCTCACAGAAAAGGCTGCTCTCGACCATATGTGTTTCCAAGTCGTCTATGTCCTCAACTTGTAAGTCAGAGGTGACTAGGGTGCCTGGAGACTCCTGGAAAATCCACCACATTCCCATCATTCGATGTATACATCGATGTGATGTTCCAGTTCCCTGACACTGACAGTTCCACTGTCCTGCCACTGTGTCAAAGGTCACTCTTGTTCTTCCAAACCGGCACCAGTTGTCTCTTTCATCAGTAAAAACTGAAAAAAACAAACACCGTTTGGAGTAACCCTCGTCTCCAAAGAAAACAGGAACCACACTGTCCACTCCATTGGTTGTTGCAGCAGTGTATAGTTTTTCACATTTTGTCCCCCACTCAGAGGACATCAGCCCTTTGCTTAACATATCCTGCAAGGAGGTGGATGTGAGGACTGCTGGCTGTGAATATGGTTTGGCACTTTTTGTTCTTTCAAGGTGTACACATTCTTTTCCAGGATTTCCTGAACACCAAGCAATCTTCATGAAAGTACGACAGTTCTCAACCTCACAGTCAATATTGGGTGGATTTGTTGTCTTGATGACATGAATGGGGAAAACTGGACTATGGTCATATTTTGGAGTGACATAGATTCCATTTTGTACATCTATGCATATCATCGGTGTAGCATCAAGGTTGTGCACATCTCTGATATGCCGTCTTAAGTTTTTTGGTGCACTTAGCACAGATGTGCAGTGGGGACATGAGACATCACTAGGGTTAGAACGTAACCTCTTCTTGTGTTCCGCAGTGTCATCTGCTTTCCGTTTTTGAGTCGCTGCAAAAGACAACAACAACAAAAACAGTTATTAACATTGGTCAAAATGTAAACTTATAACAAATGCTTATGGGGAACAGCAATTTATGACAATGCTGGTGAATCCCCATCACTGATGATGACATGATACACCAATTTCAGGGAATGATTTTAAGGGAAATAATTCACATACATCATTAATATCTTATTTGAAATAACATGATCATTAATCAACAGTAGTGCAATGGAGATGGTTCCAACAGTATGACGGTGAAATCGTAAAAATTAATATCATGGCAGTATAGCATTTTTCAGTTCACATGTAATGTTCTGAAGTACATAGCAATGTCATGACAAGGGACTTCTAACATTTGTTATGAATGCACAACATAGCACTTACTTGTCATAAAAGACTCACTTCATAAAAATTAAATAAAAACACAGCAGATGATTGAAAAAAAGTGACTTGTATTACCTTGTTTTTTTTTTGACGAAGTAAGAGCTGTAGGAGAAAGACAATGTGAATACAAATAATTAAATATGGCGCACAATTGCATAATGAAATTGAATAAGTAAATGCAATTATGTTATTTTTGTGGAGAATGCAGTGATGTTATACAAATAATTATAAAGACAGAAATATTACTTATATTCAACATATTGGAAAACATTTTTTATGATATGAGTTTACTCCATCTAGCTGTGTATTAGTTTTGTTTTCGCCTGACACACTAGGCACTATCATTTAACAGCATATATAGTTGGATGATTCAGCTGCTTGCCATAAAGATTACATTTTTTTAAATGCAGAGAAAAACCTACCATGCATGCTTTTAAAATGATTGATGATGGTGGCGGATCGTGTGAATGTTCTATAATGGCAAAATGGGCAATGGTAATGACTTCTGGATGCATTTTCAACATCCTTGCAGAGGCAGGCGATCACAAATTTCTCTGAAAAAAGTGAAATTGTTAACATGCATTAAACATTTTTCAAATATTAATGAATCAAAATGTAATGTATAACATCTTTCTTTTATACTTAATACCTTGGTTATTTTCCAAAAAATAAATTGCTTCTCTGATATGCTTGATCTGAAGGTGAACCTTATTTGCAAGTTCATTTTTTTGACAGAAGACACACTGGCCACCAGCACTGGCCAACAAAGAAGTAACATCAGAGAACGTCTGATGTGAAGCTGTGAAGAAAAACAACAATGGAGGTGAAAGAATCAAAAAGCCATCCCCATCCCCCATTGCCCACCGCACCGTCTATGTCACACAACTTATACTTTATAACTTTAAATTAACCGACGACAAGTAGTTTTAAATAAATGCCTTAAATTAAGAAAAATATAACTCCTTTTACTATTCTCTGTCGTTTAGTCTTCTTGCCAAACGTTGATTTACTTTACACCATTCTCACCTTCCATTTTCCTTAAGATGACAGAAGAACCATGGACCAAGTCCGGAGTCTGTTGACATATAGGGAATAGTCAACACGAATTGACAACAAATATATTACGGTACAAAACTATCTTTCCAGCTTTCCATTTTTTAAAAAATTATTTTAACATAGGCTATCCAATGTTTGCGTATTATGTGTCATGTGTAAATAAAGTAAACATTTGTTATTGTTAAATAAAAACTCAAATGACATAATATTTTTATTTTTCCATTACATTTATCTACAAAGACCTCTCAAAGAAATTCTCACATCTACATTTTCTCGATCAAGCCAATGAGGAAAACAGCAATGGCGCCCCTGTAAAATAATAACAGCCGATGCGAAGTTGGCTATGCTAAAACACAACTTTTTTAGTTATTAACTTGAGTAAGAATCACTACATTGGTATAAATCTTACTGCCAATAACATTTTTAACATTTAACACCATCTTCAAAAAAAGGCTGGGCTAAATATGTTAACTTATCCAGGTCTCACCTTTCGTTAATGACGGCAGCGATCCTCTTCTGCTAGACGCGTGGGTTTCCAGTTAAGGCCATGGTAAACAAATTACATTTTGCGGATCTTTCGAAAATTTCAAAACTGGGCCGGATAGTGTTGTATTTGCAATATGTAAACGGTTCTGCACCTTAATTCACAAGTTTGATGTGTAACCCTTTAATTGCCAGACCAAGTTCCAAAAATCTATGGAACAATTAGTTATTTGCATTTTTTTATCAAATGTTACACAAATAACCACAAATAAGTTTTAGTTTTTTTACTGACGAAACAGTTTTATTTGTATGAGCCTCTAACAACTGGTCGAGCTGGCCTTATGGTAAAGTGCATTTTCAACAATCATCATAATTATACAGTACAGTAGGGGCCCCTCACAAAAGGAGGAAAATGGTTTAGTCGTACCCGTTAGTTGTCCTTAAGACCCGCCTCCCAGCCGCTGCGTCTCACGCTCTCGGCTCTGTCAGATGAATGCAGGGAAAATAACTCTCTGTTTTCGGCTTTTAGCGCATTTTAAAACTTTTATGATTTAATGATATAGATAACGGCTATTCAACTGTTCATACTGGAAAGTTGATTTACCTAAAAAAAAAATGTACAAAAGTCTTTCCCAATGTTATTACATGTGAATTTGCTTCAGCACCTTGTGAACTTCCTGAGTGGGCAGAGTGGCTTGCTCTAAAGCTAGATAATTCAAAGAAGAAGTTGAGTATCAGCTAATGATTTTGCTAACAAGAACACAGTGTCATTACTGGGGAATGAACTCCAATATCATCAGTTCCATAAGATACATTAGAGTTTGAAGTTAGACATTCTTCATATTTTTTCAATAACTGCAAGATCTATCATATTATCCAAAGCATAACTTGTAAAGATTTTTCAGCTTTCTAAAGTTTTAATTATTGAGCTTTTATGCATATATATATATATATGCTTTCTGATTTTTTGTGTTATTGTTTATGCAAATAAACATGACTTGTGAAGTCTTGTTCAGTTGTCTGTTATTATGCAGTATAGTAAGCACTATATACTATGGTATATTGCAAGTGCAATAAGAAGCTACAGGGACGTTAATCTACGTTGGTAATATTAACTTTATTTAATACAGATTTACATCATACAGCCCATGTAGTATAATATTTTACAAATTATGAATTACAGCAAACATGTGCAATATATCCATTATTACAGCTCCGTGGGCTGGCAGTTAGGCGATATGGGTCCGTTCTTATTGTGCATCCATGGGTAAAGGTAAATCTCATGTAGTACTGAACACGTCACATCACATGAACGTGCGGCGCGGTCCCGTGGGTTAGATGCGCGTTCATAATGCAGAGAGAAATAACTCTCAGAATAACGTTATTAGCACATTTTTACAACTTGAGGAACGAATGTTTTTAATAAGGGCTATACAAGTGTTCATACTGGGTAGTTTATTTAGTTTAAAAAAAATTATCCAACGATTTACAGACCACTCTTTCCCCATCTAAGTCAATGGGAAAAAGTGTTTCCGGGCCTGGCAACCAAACGGAAGTGTAGTACCGCCGTTTGGCCACCACGAATATTTTCATCTGAGTCCGGCGCACTTCCTGGGGGCTTGGTCAATCTGCTCCCACACAAACAGCTTTTCTTCAGCTATTCGCGGAACCAGTGGGGCCCGAACCTTATAGGCTGCGCCTATACTCATAGAAGCTGGGTTACAGTACGTAACCCCAGTTCTATTTCGTATAAGGCTTCGCCCTCTAAGGCTATCGCTATTGGGTTAAGGGCGAAGCAGGATGTAGTCCACGCCCCACTGGTCCGTCCGTTACCAGAAGTACAAAAACACATCTACTCAATTAATAACCCATGCGTAAAGGAGCATCACAGTCCCTGGAAATATAGCATTTAAAAAAATGAATATTCTCTTTGAGGGAATGAAGGTGAACTACCCGTTGTTTAAAAAAAGTAGAGATAAAAAAATCCCACTTGTTAAAACGATAAAAGAGGGAAAAAGGGGCAGCTCTCTCAGTGCCGACAGGCAGGAGAGAGGGCACACCGTTTAGTCTCCGACATTACTCAATCTGACAGGACACTCAGTACTGAATGAGTAAGAGAGGAATGGGAGACATCCCTCAAATAAAAACGAATAAAAGAACAGGGGGAAGACCAAGATGCCGCAATGCAAATGTCTTCCACTGTCATTCCCCCGTGCAAAGCCGTAGAGGTTGAAATTCCTCTGATGCTGTGCGCTTTGATGTTTTCCGGGGGATCCACCCCAGAGGAGACATACCCCTGTGACACAGCCTCACACAACCAGTGTGACAGGCGCTGTGCAGACAGAGGCTGCCCTATTGAGTGCTCTCTGTGATGCACAAACAGGCGCTGGGACCTACGCAACGTGGCTGTGCGTGCAATATAGCATGACAGCGCACGTACGGGACAGAGGAGATGAGATTCTTCCTCCGATGTGTGAGGAGGAGGGAAGAAACCATCCAAAGTTATCACTCTCGATCTAAAAGAGCTTGTGATAACCTTTGGCATAAAAGCCTGGTTAGGGCGCAAAACAGCTGAGCTGCCATCTCCTTGGATCTGGAGACATGACGGAGCCACAGAGAGAGCAGACAAATCACTCACCCTTTTAGCTGATGTTAGAGCCAAGAGCAGAGCTACTTTGGCTGACAAGAACTTCAGGGGGACCTGATCTAAAGCTTCGAATGGAGCTTTACTCAGTGCGCGTAACACCAACGCTAAATCCCATTGAGGCGCCAAAGCACGTGACACCGGTCTGAGTCTCTGTACTCCCCGTAGAAAACGTGTTGTCAGAGGGTGACTAAACACCGTACTGACACCAAACCCTACGTGGCAAGATGAAATGGCAGCAGCGTACGCTTTGACCGTGCTATAAGCCAAATTCCTGTCTAGTAACGTCTGGAGGAACGACAGCACGTGAGGCAAGGGGCACGTAACGGGGTCCAGGCTTTTCCCTACACACCAGCGCTGGAACGCTGCCCATTTGGCTGTGTAGGATGCTCTGGTGGACGCCGCCCTTGAACCCTGAATGGTACTGATAACATTTTTAGAGAGGCCCAGCCCCTCTAAATGTTCCCGTTCAGGGGCCATGCCCACAAACGTTGGCCCAATACTGGGTGACCGCTGATCGCTCCCTCCACCTGGGAGAGAGTGTCCCTGCGCCACGGAATTTCCCACGGTCTCCCTGACAGCATCCGCTGTAGGCATGGAAACCAGGACGCTCCCGTGCGTTCCGGTGCTATTAAGATCGCTGTCAGTCTCTCCTCCTGCACTCGGTCCAGGAACCGAGGGATCAGAGGGACTGGTGGGAAAGCGTATAACAACACCTTGGGCCACGGCCTGTGTGCGAACGCGTCCACGCCCAGGGGGGGGGGGGGGGGGTGGTCCAGAGGGCACACTGCGCATTCTTGCGTGCAGCGAACAGATCCACCTCCGCTCTCCCGAACCTGCTCCATACCTGGGAGACCAGTTCGGGGTGGAGGCTCCAGTCCCCTTGGCGAGGACCTCCTCTGGACATGAGGTCCGCCCCTCTGTTCAACACGCCGGGAATATACACCACTCTGACAGAGAGTACGTGTGTTTGCGCCCAGCACAGCAGCCGCCTGGCTGTGCTCAGCAGCTGCGCTGATCGTACGCCTCCCTGGCGATTTATGTATGCCGCCGCTGCTTTGTTGTCTGTCCGAATCAACACATGTTGATTGAACAGCAACGGGGCTGGATTACTGCTCCATACGGAGATTAACTCCAGCACGTTTATGTGGAGAGACATGTGAGCCGGCCACTGTCCCCCCACTGCCTGGGACATGCACGTTCCTCCCCAGCCTGCGAGAGATGCGTCTGTGAACACCGCTGTGTGTGACGTCACTCTGCCCAGGGGAACCCCCACTCACAGGACGTGGAGATTTTTCCAATAGGCTAAATCCGAACCCACGGAAGGTGGAATGTACACCATGCGTCTCTTCTGCCGCACGGGGTCGATGTGCAGGCGAATAAACCACCTCTGGAGTCTCCTCATGTGAAGGAGTCCCAGAGGGATCACCACGTGACCAGCTGACATCATGCCTAACAGCTGCATCACGGAGAGGGCTGTCACCACCCTGCGAGGTGTGACGTGCCGGAGGAGAGCTGTCACTTTCTCCACTCTCTGCTGTGAGAGTCGCGCTCTCATGCGGGCTGAGTTCAATTCCACTCCCAGATAAACGATAACCTG